CGAAGGCGAAGAAACCAGCCGCTCCCAAGAAGGCTAGAACCACTCCCACTCACCCTCCTTATGAAGAGGTATGCATTTTCTCGAATTCGAATGCGCTTTTCTCAATTGGTGTTTCTCAAGCTTGAAAATTTAGGGTTTTCGATCTGATTTTCATTTCGTGCCATTGTTGCAGATGGTTAAGGATGCGATTGTGACTTTGAAGGAGAGAACTGGTTCGAGCCAGTATGCGATCACTAAGTTCATCGAAGAAAAGCACAAGCAGCTCCCTCCAAACTTCAAGAAGCTTCTGCTTTACCATTTGAAGAAGCTTGTTTCTTCCGATAAGCTCGTCAAGGTCAAAAGTTCATTCAAGCTTCCTTCTGCTAGGTCCGCAGCGGCACCTAAGCCTGCTTCTCCGGTGAAGAAGAAGCCAGTGGCCGCCGCCAAGCCCAAGGCTAAAGCTGCTGCGAAGCCTAAGGGAGGCAAAACGACTAAGCCAGCAAGCAAAGCTCCGGCGAAGCCAAAGGCTGCTGCAGCAAAGCCAAAGCCAAAGCCGAAACCTGCTGCAAAGCCGAAGGCTGCTGCTCCAAAGCCCAAAGCTGCTGCTCCTGCCAAGTCTAAGCCGGTTGCAACTGTCAAGCCTAAAGCTACCGCTGCCAAGCCAAAAGCTGCAGCTGCCAAGCCAAAGGCAGCAGCTCCAAGGCCCAAGCCCAAGGAGAGGCCGGCCAAGGCGGCGAGGACTCTGACGAGGTCATCTCCGGGAAGAAAAGCTCCGGCGGCCAAGCCTGCGCCGAAGAAAGCTGCGACTCCAAAGAAGGCTCCTACTCGGAGCGTGAAGCCCAGAAGCGTCAAGTCGCCGGCGAAGAAAGCTCCCGCTCGGAAGGGAAGAAAGTGAGAGAATAGGGAGGAAGAGACTAGTTGGTTTTAGGGGTAGTCTTGTAAATCTCTTCGTGTTTGCAGTTAAGAAAAAAAATATATATCGGATTTTTATTTTTTTTTACTTTCATTATCGAGTTTTTCAGCCTGAAAATCGAATTGTTTTTCTTTCTAGGGTTTGTGGACAGTTTGAGATTGTAACAACTTCAGTACATTTGAGTTGAATTAGTAAGAAGATGAGTTATCGTATTCACCCTGCGCATTTTAGCATTCTGCAACCCTTGTATGATGTATGTTGTCATTGCGATGAAGTGCAGTTAGGGATTTCGAAGGTCTCTGTATAAACCTAATGGTGTGTTCGATCTGAAAACGCTGGGTTTGGTAAACTTCCACACACTTCAATTCAAACTCTGCTAGATTGTTTGCCATTCTTGTAGGTCTAATTTGTTCTGCAATTTGATCCCAAATCAGTTGATTTATCTGCAACAAATTTTACTTCATTTTGGATTAGGGTTTAATCAAACTACATTGTTGTTCATAATTGGATTAGGGTTTCTTCGTTTCTTGGGTTTTTATTTGAGATTTGAAAGCATACCTACCAACTGTTTGCCAACAGTCCGAAGCTGTGATTACGCATTGTATGCCATTACTTCTTCACAGTTTAATAAGACAGGAGGGGAATTGAATAAGTGAGCTGCCCAGTTAATGAGGCATATGGCTTTGCCATGCTCACCATATTTCTGTCTGTTTTTTATGGTTGCTTGGATCCCTCTTCTTAATTTGAATTTCCAATTTTTCATTTTGATCTCGTCTTTCATGAAATATTTTCTTTGATGATTTTCTTTATACAGCATGAACTTTAAATGCCGTAGGTTCCTTACGATTACACGGTCACGTAGTTTTACAAGGAAACAAATCTACCAAACTAAACTTGCAAAGCCATTTGATGATATGAATTGACTTTAGGGAGATGGTATGAACAAATTATGCAAGAGAAATTTGAGAAATCCTTTGATATATAGCTGAGTTTATAGCCGAAATTAGAGATAGAAGACACCAACAAGGAGGTGTCAGAGTCAGCACTATATTATTGACATAAATGTACAATAACATGAGATGATTGTTGAAACACCAGTGTAGAATAATCTGCTGAGTGAGATCATGCCGTACAGGAAAACAATGAAACCATATCCGAGTTGTTGAGATGAGGCACAAGCAATAACTCACAAACACTGCATTCTTCAAGAGGCCATGTAAAAACTGCAGCCCTTGCTCTGGTGGCTTCTAGTCTAGCGTGACCCCTGCTTAGTGCTTCCTTATGCTAGGGTTTTATAGGAACAAACAATAAGGTTGCATTTGGAAAGTGTGACTCAAAGCATGAGCCAGCTAAGTAGGATTTTTCGCAATGTAACTGGAGTAGTTGTAGTGCAAGTCTTCTTTCTTTTTTGTCATTAAAGTTCATTACTTGTAGAATGTTCTGAGATACAGGTAAAGTTTAGCTGAACCAAGGAGATAGTTGGGTTTGAGATTGAGTAAGATGTGGAATGCTGACATTTCCCATTTATCTCTATCTTTGCTTGCATCATTCTAATATTGTCTTCTTAGGTGTTCATTGGTATACTGGTTTTTCAGAGTAATGGGCAGGGTGACCCCCAGAATTTGGGCACCTTTCCCTTCAAAATGCCCAGTAAATTAATGTTCAATCTTGTTTTCTTGCATATGGGATAAAGAATGTATGAATATGAGATTGGAATAGAAAGCAGTAGGAGCTGGTGTTCATTTCACAATCTTACATCCATTGGCTCTGATATCGCGAATTCTTGTTCTTGGGATTAATAAGTTATTTCTAATTATGGTAGCAACTTAAAATGAACAGAATACGTAGCTTCACTATTGATGATGATTCTGCGAGCCGCAAGAAGTTGAGATTGAAAGATGCTTATTGTGAGATGTGTGCTTGGGTATACCACTGGAAAGGTCCCTCTCCTTGGCAAGACTGAGCATTACCTTGCCTGCTACACCACAGAGGTGATAAATTATAGAGATTGAGCATGAGGAGGGATTAGAACCTACATGTGAATCTCTTAGGCAGTTTCCATTTCTCTTATATGCTCTGCTGTTATGCAATTTATTTCTCAAAATATGTTCCAATCTCCATATTATTCAGGAAATTTTTTCGTCTCTCATATCTAGTTGCTTTTTTTGGTTCATGTTTTCCTTTTCTGCTTACCATTCTATTTTCTGCATTCTGTTTACATTTATGTATTTGTGAATTTAATGCCCTGCAAAATACACATTTGCCTTATCTGTTCGCTCACCTGTCACAATCGACACATAGGTGAAATAATCGTCCTATCAAGGAACCAGTTATAAACCAGGACTTGGCTATCCATATGACTACACTCGTTCTCAACCAACAGAGAACTCTTGACCAGATTTGAGGCTGTTCCATTAGCGGTGTGATTGAGAATGAATGGCCAGACATAACTTGGGCCAGTTCATTTAGGATCAGCACGGAGCACTTAAGTAGTTAGATCTTAGGTTTGTAAATCACCACAAAACCTTTAGGAATTTGGAGAACTTGTTTGGAGGAAATAAGATTCAGGGAAAACTGGAGAAAAGAGACATGTATATTCATCTTTGCATCAAGGATTGGCATTCGGTTCTACTATTGTTGGATGAACTTCTTGCCCGTATATAAGACAAGTTCTTCTGTTGCTTGTTTTCTAGAGGTTTTGTTCACAAGCTACTCAAGATATGGTGTAAGAATTCACTGGACTTTATGAAACAACAATCCTATATGTGGGACTCAATTCTACCAATGCAATGCCAAAGTAAAGGAATTATTGCTGATGAGTCGATGACCAAGGAGTACTTGTTTGTGAACATCTTTGTTTATTCTGGGGAAGTACAGAGACACAAGCGGGCATGTATTTTACCTTGTTTCCTTTAAAATTTAACCTTGTTTACTATTGATCTTAGCTTGAGTGAGCTCTCTCTGCCCCCCTCCTCTCATTTATCTATCATTCTCTCCCTCTTTTTATTTTCTAACTTTTGTTTACCTAACGCAGGGCAGGTTTTCAGCCTCAAATCCAGGTTAAACATTGAATGTAGCTGGCTGATATCCAGCAGGTATTCATTCATGTCATCTATACTTTGTTAATTGTTAATGATGCTTCAAATGCATGGTCCTAGCTTAGAAAATCCTTTTTGTTCTTTCGACTTCTGAAAGCATAGAGGAAAGAATCACAGCAATAAACAGTACAAATTAAACGATGGTTTAGAAGATATCAATGTTTTTCTGTTAGATTATTTCTTTCTCCATGATATATCCCAATGCCCTCCCCAATGCATTTGCTATTTAGGGATCTGGAGTGGAATTTATTTGGCAGTTAGCTATGGATCTTTAGATTTAAGAGACGTGTATTGGAGATTACTATATGAATGCTTAACGCTTAACTGATATTCCAGGAATTGCAATTCTTTATCATTCCTTTGATATTTAAGTAACTCATTTGTTCTTACCAAAATAATACATGACTCATTTAATACTTGCAGTTTCTTCATTACCAGGAATATCTGAATTCAAATTCATTAATCCATTCCTTTCATGCCAAATATCATTTGAAAGAGAATGAATATTGGGTTATGCGTGGATGCATATCTAGTTAGTGTAAATGCCTTAGACATCAAAGAATTCCAAATTTTCCTTTTGGGGCTTGCATTGCTTTTGTAGTCAACATGTTACATCTATACTCAATTATAAATAGGCATCACATCCATATATATTATCCCCAACAGGGAAATTCAGATATTATCAATCTCATAAATATGTATATACCTGACTATGATAAGTCCAAATTTTTACCTTCAAATCTTCATTTTCTCTATATATAAATCTTAGGAGTAACCTCCTCATTTTTGGTATAACACAGACAAAACGCTCCTAGTTTTTTGTAAAACACAGACAAAATACTCATTGGTTGCAGATATTGAAAACTTCCAATGCTTTGTTCAGTCTCCATCTTCTGATCTGTGCTGTGAAGATAAGAAGTTTAAAACGCACATGGCTGGGACCATTGGTTTATCGTTTCAATCTTTCAGCTTTCTGGATGGAGTACTTCAGCTCTTTTTGAATGTTTAATCTTGAAGGTGATAAGACAATGTCCTTCCAGATTGACCCAGTTTCACAAGCTGGGTTAGGGTGCTTGTAAAGTTCGTATATGGAATTCGCTGTGTCATTTAATCGGCCCACACTTTTCAAGCAATCAATTTCATCTGGATCAACAAGCAAGGTTCTGTCTTTGTCTTTCCATCCTATCAACTTCACAACATTTATTATCTTAGTATCACACATATAATGTTAGACTACTATAAACTACTTCCAAGCATAACTTTTTGTTATTGGTCTGGTCCTGGATCCTATGTTTTCCATCCATGGTTGAATAAATATATATTTCGCATCTTACATTTAGGACTCTTAATGTCTAAAGCAAGGTTATTTCAGGTCAGATAGAGGGGCTGGCTCATAAAACGTGCAACGACTATGAGTTCTGAGGCTAGGAGATACAGAATTCAAGAAAGTCCATTCTTATTGAGCCTTGGTTATGTGGAAGTCTGCAGGTACATAGGCTTTGTTTGATTCCTTAGTTTCATGCATGGAATGGAACACTCTTGAGTTGAGTTAAGGTATGTGTGCAGGTTCTTTTCATTGGAAAGGAAGGAAGATATATAAACTAAAAGAAGGGATAGCAAGTGTACCTTAGGTGGACCTTCCAATGCATTTGTGCAATATAGTCTTGCGTTGTCAACCAGTTGGCAATATGTTAGAAATGCATTTGCAAATCTCTTGTGGGATTTCAATTGTGAGTTTACTCGTACAGCTCTTCTACACATGATAGCTCTCCTGTTGTCATTGACTTTCATTTATCAGGGCCTCAAGAGGAAATGCTTTTCTTTTTATTGCTAGAAGTTCGAAAGTGAACAAAAAAAATAAGGTAAGACCACATACCTTATGCCTCTTATAGCAGCTAGATAAGCATCACACACAACTCCAACAAGCTCTATCCTGTATGGTTTTCTCTTTCTGCCTCCTACTTGTTCTGGTTCTTCATCGTCCAGTCGTTCCCAATAGTTTTCGATAACAGTTCCATCTTCACCCTCCTTGTAACCAGGTCCCATCCGATAACGGCGGCGGTGGACATTTCTCGCCATTGTTACTGTCTGCACAACAAATGGTACCCAAGAGAGTGTGCCATCCATGATCACATCCCGCCCTTCATTAAGTGCTGTGACCAAGAGTGATGATGCTGCGTCTGTAGATGATTGGTGTACCTGTTTGAAATCATTTTTATCAGCTCATACCATCCTTGAAAAATTATTTGAATGAACTTTATTTAAGTATAGGTATCTATGTGTTTTGTTCCTTATATATATATATATATAATGATGTATACCAGTTCAGCAGTTTGAAGCATGTCATGATGTCCTCTAGAGCTGAGGGCTCTATATATAACATCTGATTCTTTGAAGGCATCTGCCTCAATGACTACTGCATTCCCCGCTGCTCCAGCCCAGAATGTTCTACAACACGCATTTCAACCAAAAAGGTTAACATTAAATGATGTTTTCTTTGGCTTGAAAATGATGGTTGAATTGAATGAAATCTACCAAGCCATGATGATGGGAGGAGCTTGCCTTGTCGTTGCTTGGTTGTAAAATGTGATTACAGTAATGTAATATAATTGTTTATGCTTATGATTTCTAATTAACTATAGTAGCAAACATAATTTCCTTATGCTTATGAATTTCTACCCGATATATAATAGGATCGGTTATCAAGATATTCATGTAGGCTTCAATCCATGCCATGCGAGAGAGGGTTGAGAAGGAAAATGTTAAGGGAAGAAGAGAAGTTGGTTTATATATATAGCATGCATTTTGCTTGAAAAAGGAACTCTTACTCTTTGAGGATGTCCTTTAGCACAGTGCTCTTCCCTGCTCCCATTCCACCTCCCATGAGGAGGAGGACTGGACTTCTATCAGCATGTGCTACTGGAGCCATCACCTCTGTACATGTCGAGTCATCCACCGCAGTCGCCAGTCCCATTGCTTTCATCTCTTCCACTAACGTTGTGAAAACTCTAGCCACCTTCAAATTTTTCGTCACCCTCTCAAATCTCTGTTCTCTATATCACAACACAAAGTCAAGATTATATTCAATTTTCCCTACCAAAAAACAAAATTACAATAATAATTGTGCTTCACTTTGGTAATGCTTGCGTATAATAAGTAAGTCCTACCTACCTGGTTGCTGCCATGACAATGTTCTTGAGCTTCTTTTTGGGCTCATCACAGCTCAAGATCTGAAATTTTACAAATCCTTATCACTTGAGGTTCCACAGAAGAAAAATATGACTAATTAGGATTTTAATTACATTCTTTCATATTGTCATTCAATGCAAAATGATTAGGATCTTAACCACCTGACTAATCATGAGGTCAGCTAGGCTCCAATGAAATGCAAAATAGCTGAGGATGCATCTCTCAAACTCCTCCACAAGCTTCACAAACAGCGAATCGGCATCCGGTTCACTTGAGAAGAAGTTATAGATATCATCCTCAAACCCTTCAAATTTTCTGATGTATTCAGTGGCTAACTTGCAGAGATGTGGACATTCTCTTCTGTCTTTAAATCCCAGCTGCCTAGCTGCATGTGCACCCACAAGGCAATGCGGAAAACACAAACACACAAAGACAATTCTGTTAAAATTGCTTCTTGAATTTTCTGCCAACAGGTTTTACAATACAAGGCCTCATATATAGATCACAATAAGTCTTTTTTAAATTTTTTTTTTAACATGGAGATAATAAGTGGAGATATCATGTTCTATTAATTACCTACCTACATAATGAGGGAACCTTTCAAGCTTGTGTTGAACACGGCTAGAGTCAGATATTTTCAGGCGTGGGATGATCTTCTGATCCTTGAGCTTTCGCAGACGGTAATGCACCGCAGCGGCGATGATGATCCCGATGGAAGAGGCTACCAGGATCTGTGTGAAGGTAAGTTTGCTGTTGTTGTGATCTGAAGAAAACTGAGAGGTGAGGAGTGATAAATTACGTAGCTTTTTGCATGAAGGATGGAAGCATATAGCCACGGAAGAGGCCAATATCAAGAGGCTCACTAGTTTTGTTCCATGATGCTTACCTTTCTGCATGTCTTAAAAAATTCCAGGAAAAATAGCTAGCTAGATGTGATGTGAAGAAAGATCGAGTCTTTTGTTACTTTTCTGCGATCTGATTTGGATTTCGATTGTTAAGACGAGAGAGAAAATTTGGCATTGACTTATGCTTTTTCTAGTTGCATGTTAATCGTTATATGGTTACTTGTTTCGAAATTGAGTGGTGACACGTCTGCGATGCGAACAAATATTTGTATTATTATTATTATTAATGATGTTTCTAAAATTGTACCCCATAAACCTTCTGTCCTCGTCCCTGCCTCTCCCCTCACAACACTGATATGAACTTTTCACTTTCCTAATAATGTTCCTCAGTGTTACACATCAATATGCGTTAGTAACAAATTTATTATAGTAATTTTTCATTCCCTACTTGAAAAATATAAACTTAGATTGTTATTGTAACAAAGCGGTTACGGGAGAATGGAGAAATGAATTAGGATTATGACCATGGCAATAATATGATCCTTTTTTTTTTTCCGTAACTACGATCATATTATACATCGCATCGCATGCATATGATCCATTTGGTAAGATAATCATTTTTCATCAAAATTAGTTAACTGTTTATGTATGCATCACATAGCATGTGTATGATCCATATAGTAAAAAATACACAGCACTTGAAAGTTGCTCAAAAAAAGTGCACATAAAAGCTCCCAACCTTAGTACATAAAATTTTCAGCATGGACACTACTTCTGCAAGTCGTTGGAATTGTCAAAGCTACATACAATAATACACCTCACTTAGGATTCCTAAGAACAATGATAACTGAATCCCCACGGAGAAACATCTTGCTGATGAATCTATCCTTGTTAACAGGTTGGGCTTTTTTCTTGCCTTTTCCGGTCTTTGGCACCTGCATAGACAAATAAAAGACAACACAAATATCATGAGATAAAAAGAACTTTGATAATTGATGAAGATCTACCAACACAAATGGAAACAGAACACAAGATAAAACCCATGATTGGGAATACCTCAGTCCACATCTCCCTAACATTTTCCAGAACCATGTTGCAATGCCTATCAAATGCTCTCACACGGCCAAGAAGCTTTCTGTTGTTACGACAATTGATGAGCACCTGTTTGCACAACGAGAACCAATTTGAATAAGAATATTTTCCTGATATGTAAAGCCTTTATTGGCAGAGAACTATGAAATTATAGAAAGCATTACCTGAGTATTATTCTTCACACTCATCATAAGAACAGAGAGTGGTCCTGTATTAAATTCCTCCTCCTCGTTCTTGGCAACCTGCAGCATTCAGGTTAGATAAGAATCTTCACAAATTGATGATACCAATAAGAATAAATATGCTGACTTTGGGTTTCAGAATGAGAATATGACAAAATAAAAGGTTTCCAGAATGAGAGGGGAAATAATCACATGCGACCATGTCATATACCAAGAGAGATCACTCTCAAACATTTGGTCCCAATGGTTTTATTTAGCAGGAATGGGAAATGAGTAAAGGTTTGGAGGTCCTTTAGAAGAACATGGAAAAAGAAACACACAAACATAGGAGGCATAACACAATTACTCTTCGATAATTACTAGTGCTCTGATGCATTAAACAAAAAATGACTAACTGAAGTGCAACAATATTTTGAACTCAGATTAGTTTCCATGAAATACCATCAAAGTATCAATAAGTACAATTCAATACAATCACAGGTGGGGGTAAATACGAGATATTGCCAACTGCCACTAGTTCAAAGTTGCAAATTCCAATATCCAAATTCAGGACAACCCATTTTACTCAATCTCTCAGATAATACATAACATTTAAAGATGCAGAGAGAGATGTGATAAAGAGGAACAAAATTAACTCAAGAGCAGAATAACTTACATCTTCCTCCATTGGCCGGCTGGAAACAGAGAGGGAAATAAACACAAAACAAAAAAGGAAACCTTGTTAGTATTTCAGTAAAAAGCTAAGGACAATTGCAATTTGGCACATCAAACTAATCATACCTCATCTTGAACAAGGGGTATGTTTCTAGGATTTTCAACCTGGCAAGGAACAACAAGATATACCAAATTAATCCGAGTATTAAGTAAGTTCACCAATAAAATTAAGTAATACTCTACTGATATTACAATGGTATTACATACTGAGATCTCATAAATTCATTGGATGTATCATGGAAACAGTAATTTGCAAATGTTTTCAGTTCTCAACACTATTGTAATAAGCTATTGTACCAACTTTCGTTTTTATTGTTTAATTTTAATTCTATGAGCGGCAACACTATTTTGCGGATGTTCTCATACATTCATTGAAATTGGACGTTCCAATGAAAACCGAAGTTGGTATAAAAGCTTATTACAAACTGAAGTTCAGTGACTCAAAATTTAACCCTTCATATTCCCTCTATCTTAATTAGCTTGATATACTTATAAGCACCTTAAGCTACAAAACCAGAACAAACAATTTAAGCATCACACCAGCTAGCAGCTATGCATGCAACAGTAAATTTAGGCATATTATGAACTCATTAAACTAAGCAGAGGTTAAAAACAATTGATTATTAATTGAATGGTGAAGAGATAGTTTAATCCAAACAGTACGACAAAAAAAAACTACGATTGCTTCTTCCCTTTCTGTAATGCACTATCAATAGCAACAGCAAAACCCGAAAACACAGCAACATCAGCAGCAAAACCCAAAAACACAGCAACATCAGCAGAAAAACACAAAAACAGTCCAATATCAAATACCAACAACTTAAAACAGTTCAAAAACACTAAATCTGAATCACCCAAACAGTCAGGCAGAGATTTTCATACCTTTATGAAAGCCTAGAGGCAGTGAGATCTGAGGGAGAGAGGAGGATATAAGTGAGACAGAGCGTCAGATCCGAGATAGCTGAGCGCAGTGAGATCGAATGAGGAGGGAAGAGGCAGAGCGAGAATTGAGAGAGAGAGAGAGAGAGAGAGAGAGAGCGCGCGCGAGGGAGATTTGAGAGACCGAGAGCGAGCGTGAAATAATAGAAAAGGTTTAGGGTTTAGCGTGGAAAATTGATTTTCGAGAGTTTTCAAAATTTTGGCTCATTTTTAAATTAATTTTCATTTGTTCAAAAACTAAAAACTAAAAATAATTACCAAATACATTTCCACTTTCTAAATTTTCAGAAAACTGAAAATAAAATTGTTTGGCCTTAAATTAAAATTAAAATAATCTAATACATTATATTTTGAAAAGCAAGAAATAACATATCCACATTTTTCTAACCACTTTATTCTGATTTCTCAAATTTTATTGGGATAGAAAAATCCAAAACTAGTCACGTGTCATTTTTTAACCAATTTTTACAATAAGAATCAATTAGAAAATGACAAGTAGCTAATTTAGGATTTTTCTTTCCAAATATGCTCTACATGAGTTTTTGTATAATATGAAATGCTAAAATAAATTTATTTATAAAATTTAATTTGAGTAATAGCTAATAATTTATATATATATATATATATTTTTTTTTTTTTAAAGAGAAGCTAATAATTTGTTAATTGGCAAACAAATTTGATTAATATAAACTGCAAAAGAGAGAAAATGAAGAAGTTTTTGTTTACCGCTAAAACGACACCAACTACTACAATGTTCTCTTGATTCAATACCAAGTCGTTGACACATAAACGACGATTAGGTTAGCTGCTGCTGCTGAAGTTCTTCTGCTAACTACTACTCTACGATGAGCTCATCGGGAACAGCTTCAAAAGTAAAGTTATCATCTTTATTCGCAAACCCACAAAGACCCACATCTTCAAATTCCAAAACTTCAAGCAAGCTTTCATCTTTGTTCATCAAGAACCAAGGCACGCCCACTTCTTCAAATCCCATAACTTCATCAGAAAACTCAATTTCCAAAGTTCCAATCCAAACCCAACTTGAAAGATTTCTTGAAACCAACTGTAAGTCAGGTAATGTTACCATCAATGAAGCGCTGCACTATTTTGAGCACATGATTCAAATGCAACCCACTCCTTCAATTTGGTCATTCAATCGTTTATTTGGTGGACTTGCCAAGAGTAAGCATTGCTCTCATGTTATTTTGCTTTGCAATAAGTTAATATCAGTTGGGTTGTTGCCGAATTTCATTACGCTTAATATTTTGCTTAATTGCTTTTGTAATGTGAACCGGGCTCGTGATGGTTTTGTGGTTATGGGAAGTCTTTTAAGGAGGGGCTATAGACCAAGTACTGTCACTTATACAGCATTGCTTAAAGGGTTGTGTAAGGAGGATAGGATTGATGAGGCAACCAGATTGTTTAAAACAATGATGAAGTTGGGGTGTCAGCCTACTGCGGTTACTTTTGGTACTTTGATTAACGGGTTGTGTCGAACAGGAAATACGAATGTTGCGCTTCGGTTACATGAAGGAATGGCTAATGGGAATGGTGTCTATGGTGTTGAGTGTAAGCCAAATGTAGTATCTTATGGGACCATTATTAATGGGCTCTGTAAAGCTGGGTTGGTAGATAAGGCGAAAGAACTTTTCATAGAAATGAAAGATGGAGGATTTGTCCCTGATGTGATTGTGTATAGTGCTCTAATACATGAATTGTACTACAATGAAAAATGGGAAGCGGCTAAAGCATTGTTAAATGAGATGGTGGATCAGGGTGTCAGGCCTAATGTGGTGACATTCAATGTGTTGATAGGAGTGCTTTGCAGAAGGGGACATCTGAAAGAAAGCAGTGACTTGTTAAAGTTGATGATTCAAAGGGGCATAGATCCTGATGTATTTACTTACAACACTTTGATGGATGGCTTCTGTTTAGCGGGTATGCTTAAAGAAGCAAGAGAGCTGTTTCATTCTATCCCAAGTAGAGGTTGTGAACCTGATGCTATTAGCTACAATGTGTTGATCAATGGATACTGCAAGAATAGGAATATACATGAAGCTGTCAAGCTTTACAAGGAAATGATTGGCAAAGGAACTAGGCCAACAGTAATAACATATAACTCCTTATTAACTGGTCTTTTTCATATGGGTAAAGTTCAGGATGCACAAGAACTTTTTGGTGAAATGCAAACTCAGAACCTGTTACCAAATTCAACAACATATAAAATATTGTTGGACGGGCTTTGCAAAACTGATCGCGTACCAGAGGCAATGGAACTTTTCCGTACTTTAGAAAATTGCAACTTCAAAATTAGTGTCGAAATGTTTAATTGCCTTATTGATGGCTTCTGTAAAGCAGGGAACCTTGAAGTGGCTTGGGATCTTTTTCTTACATTGTCAAGTAGAGGCCTGGCACCGAATGTTATAACATATTCCGTGATGATTCATGGGCTCTGTATAGAAGGACAACTGGAAAAGGCAAATGGTTTGTTTATAGAAATGGAAGGGAATGGTTGTGCTCCAAATGTCATTATTTATAATATCCTCATGCGTGGTTTCTGCCAAAGTGATGACTCGGCGAAAGTGGTCGAACTTCTTCACAAGATGGTCACAAGAAAATTGTCACCAGATTCCTGCACAGTCTCCATTGTCATAGACTTGCTCTCGAAGGATGAAAAGTATCGTAAATGTCTGGACTTGCTTCCAACATTTCCTGCCACTAGCCAATCGAAGATGACATGATAAGTTTAAAAGTCACGAGCATGATTATTCAGTCATAACTTCTAATCCAAAAGTCTTCTGATTTTGTTCACACATTCAACCAGAAGTTACAAAATGTGAAGGTGCATTGCCATGATCTCAAATGGACAATCGTTATTGTATTCAAAGAAAAAACTTCAGTGGTGCAGTCTGTGCGAGATCAGATCGCATAGATGGTGTAATGATGGATTGAACGAGCATCCACTAGTGCCTGCAGTGCGTGAGTGACTCCCCTGAATCAAGGTTGCAAATACACAAGACCCAGCGCATCATACTGTTTTTTGGGTCAAATAGTACAGCGTATTTGTGCATGCCAAAGTTATATTTTTTTTCTGGTCTGGCGTTCTGTGGCATGGTGTTAAGTAGAAGAGAGGCTCACCTAAAAAAGTTACTTTATGTCACTAAAAGGTTACTCTTCTGTCAATTAAAGAGAGAGCATGATCCGCAGAGTGGTAGTAACCAGTTGGCCTCCTGTTGTACTTGATACTTTTGTAATACAGGTATTAAACTTCTTTGTATTGCATCAAACCTTAAATTCTGTGAAATATTTATGTTTAATGAGAATTGTAGATTTTTCTGCTGCAATACCTTTTTCTAGCCTTTTGTTCGCTTTCCTTTTTTGATGAGCACAAAATATTTCTCAGCTGATGAGTGCAGTCTCAGCAAACTAGCATTTCATTCTGGAAAAGAAAAATATCTATCCCGCAAGTTGAAAGAGGGGCATTGAAATGGTTTGAGAGTCTGGCCTCACTAGTTGATCCATGATGGGTAAAACGTATGGAGTATGTCTTTGAATGTGTGTGTATATGCATATATGTATATATTTAGTGTATTTACAGAATACTTCAGTATTTGCTGTTTGCACTGAGCATAACTGGTAGGTATGCGTTTTCTTTTGCTAAATGGCCCAGTTTGGTGGGGAAGAAGAAAGTAAACTTGGATACTAATAAAACTGAATTTTTTTTATTTTTTATTTGTAGAATATGCTTTTACTTGTACCATCTGGTCGACAGCCTATAGGGAGATTGGATATCCACCATGAAGAATGAAAACACCCACATAAATACAATTAGTTTCTAGTTTTGAAGGAAACAACTGTGCCACATAAATATAATTACTTGTACCATCTCTCTCTCTCTCTCTCAGCTTTTTTCCTATCATTCAGCAATAAAAGTAGTTCAAATGATGACTGAAAAATGGCATGCATCAACAAATATCACCCTTAGGGTCCCATTGCTGATCTTTAAGCCAGTACTCCAACCCAAAAGGGCTGTATTTTGTTAGCAGATCAGGGTTGAATTCTTTTCTTTTCTTTCTTTTTCTCTGTTATTTTGGGTGGATGGGTTTGTGCCCCAAGGTAAGCTAGTGCTTAGCAAACGTTTCTTTACAGCATTAAAGACCATCTGATGATAAAAGCTATTGCCTCTCACATCAGATGAACCCTTATGAGATTTTTCTCCTCAATTTCAGATCCCTAAACTTGAAAGGATAGGTGAAAAAGTATACATATTATTGTACCAAGAAGCTTTTGTAACACGTTCTCTCTGAAGACATGAAATTTCTCTTTTTATCTCCTGCTTTTCACTCAGATGGTGAGACCTCCAAATGATTGGGGTAATTACAACTTAATTTACCAATCTGGTTGATTGGAGTGATTGCAGCTTAAAAGATAAGTATATGGGTCATGCAGGCAAGATGTCCTTTGATTGGATTTTTTAAAATTATTTATTTATGTTTCTTGTTGGCTGCTTTTCAAGCATCATTAGTGGGTAATTCAAGAAAGTAATAGATTGTTACATTATATGATAATCCACCTTTAAACTTCATACATAAGATGTATGTCAGGAGAAAAACTTGCATGTCCCGGGTTCATGGCCCGGCCCCCTCCATCGCTATCTAACGCAAAATCAATAAATATAGTTCATTTTTATTGTTGAGAAGGGACCAAGGGCAAAGTCAAGAACTTCATCAACATGATCAAAGACCAGTAGATAGAGTAGGTTCCTCATTACAAATTTACTAGTATTTGGTAACACTATTTATTGAGTTATATCATATCATTTGAGTTAGAAAGAAAAACACACAAGCAAGCAGACAAGGTCATATTGGTTGGCATACACACTCCCTCCTTTTTCTCACTTTGTAATCTTTCATCCCCCACTATTATTTCTCATCTCTCTTAAGTCCAATCAAACCCTACAAACAAAAGTACTTGGATTCCATTTTTTCAACCCTTCTTTCAAAATGAGAATCCGAACCACAATTATAACTCTTACACATTGATATCGTTCTCACATCATGAAACTGTACATTTGCATTTGCATTTGTTTCTCTCGCCTTAGCTTGTGGATACACTGCTCTGCTTGTGCAAGTTTTTTCCTTTTTCCACCCCGACAAAGTAAAATCATATCAAAGCAGCCAATTGAGAAGCTACAGTTGTCAATATCCAGGAGGTCTGTCCCACCTGAAATCATGAACCTCACATGTAAATCTGAGCCACATGGAAATATCAGTTTTTTTGGTTCCCCATTTAGGGTTGACTCATCTTGTAGATATGGTGGTTTGGCATGGAAGAAAGATATGCATGTACTAAAATCTTAAGAAACATGCTAACCCAAATCACAGTATAGAGAGACTCTCTGTCTCTATATCCTTTCCCTTACTTTTCCCAGAAAATTTAACAAAAAAGAAAAAAAAAAGAAAAGAAAAAGAAAAAAAGGGACACTAGCAAATAAACAAAACCAAAAGGACAGAAGAAAAAACTTAATTTGCAGTCATATGTTCACAATGGCACTGCATATCTTAGTCAACAAATTTTAGGCATGGAAGAGATAGAAATTAGACTCAACTGATGATGCTTGCTCCGGTTGTCAATTTCGGCTACAGGTAGGCTAGCTGCTCTGCTTTCCTCAATTGAAAATCTGCAGCTTCTGCATAAATACTACCATAAGTAAGGCAAGAGGCTCTCATTCATTGCATTTTAATTAATGCATGATATGTATATAAAGTAGTGAATTATTTCTCTTAGTTGAGGGGAATGAAGCCTGGTCCGAAATCATTCAGACTATGCTTAAGCTCTACAGTTGTGAAGGATCTCGAACCAGACAACATTCCCCTCAACTGTTTTGTGAGAGAGAGAGAGAGAGAGAGAGAGAGAGAGAGAGAGAGATGAGCAGAGAGATTTGATATGGCCATGCATTATATATATATAATGGGGTCCTTATACACGTAAGGATGAAATAAAACCCAAGATTCTTTCTTCATGTCACATGACTTGGAGTCCACTTTCTACACCAGTACTACAAACCTTGCTTTTCAAGTTCACACATAGCCAACTGCATGTATAGATTTATATATGTATGTATATATGTGTGCATATATATATATATATATATATATATATATATATATATTAAATGTTAACCAAAAAAGATACAAAGAAAAAGGAAATTGTCAAGTTTTTTTTTAATTTTTCCTCCTCCTCAAGCATACATTTGTGAATTGTGATGAAGTCAACTTTAGGTACTTCAATTAGATTAGGGAACAAGCTACGCTCTACTTCCAATTGTATATGGTCCAGACTTTATAGTTGCGTTTTTAACATTCAAATTAATTTTGAACTTGGTCCCATGCCATATGCATAAACAAATTAAATACATGTAAATATGTTCAAATTGTTTAACATTTTTATTTCTTTTGGTTGAAGTAGCTTTACAAAGACTTAGGGCTCGTTTCAGAGTGATTTTAGATAGGTCAGAATCACTTCTGGGGAGAAGCGCCTCCCACGTGCTTCTCCACATAATCACTTTTAGTGATTTTAAGTGATTTAGGGGAGAAGCACCTCCGGAGTGCTTATCCATAAAATCACTCAAAGAGATTATTTGAAAAAGTGACAAATGATTATTAGCATCTCCAGAATCACTCCCAAACTAGCCTTAATAATTGTTGAAGTGATTAATTAGTTTTTGAGGAGGGTGTTGCTTTCATGCAAGGATCTTGACCTTGTGTTGATTGCAGCTCACAAGTAAAGGATATGTCTTTTGCTTGCCACTAGGGTAAAGGGATGGTTCATAGCAGGTGGAGAACCTTCTTCTATATATATCATGCAATGCAATGCAATGCAATGATGGCATGCGTATGTGCAGCTAGCTAGTCTTGATGCCAAGCTTAAATCCCAAGCTTAACACAGATTGGCCTCTTAAAGCTATAAGACAACCAACCAACCAACCATCCAACAAATTTAAAGAAGAAAAGGAAAAGGGACAAAAGAAAAGTGGATTATAAAGTCCATTATGCATAATGCTCTCACCTTAATTTTTGTCTTGACTTGATCATATTTTAATATCTCCCCATTTCATATTTGAAATCAATGAACAACCCTGCTCTGTAATATATCCAAGTCAAACTTAGCCCACAAATTTATAGATTGTGGAAGAGAGAGAGAGGCATAGATACAAATTAATAAGATTTCTCTTGCTTGACTACAAATTTATAAAGTTCTTCTTAGAGATATTGGAATCAAAATCAACTTTTTAATTGGGCCCTATATGTTGTTTTGTTTGGAATTGCTGGCCTGATAAAGTCTCTCTGCATGCTACTACAAAAGATAGATATTAAATATTGTATCACCAATCAAGTTTAATACTAGAAGCTAATGAAATCATGACCTCTATGCGTATAAAAGATATTATGCTCACCCGGCCTACAAGTCAAAGCGCCTTTCCGAGTAGGCATTCTGTTCCCACATTTCAAGCATGTTCTTCTCAAAAAGTGGTGTCAATTTTCATCTTGGTATTTGAAAACTTATACACAGTATCACAAATTACCCGCTACATGTCTAGTAGTATCTTTCTTTCCAATGTTTCGAATCCCGCCTTCCCGCTGATTTAAAGAAAAAAGAAAAACCCCAAAAAAGAGTAGCTGGTACCTGTTGATTTCTGTAGGTATCTTTTTTCATTTTGTTGAAGAATGCCATGGGGGTTAGGCCTCCATCTATGTCAAGGCAGTACACATGAATTCCACCCTATGAAAATACATGAATCTATATGAGCTGTTGCCTTCTGTACCAATGGGTAAAAGAAGTAATTGATAGAGCTTTCCTGGTTAACACTGAAATGATAGAATATATAAGACAGTAAAAAGGTAAAATTTGACAGCATTTTAACATTTGAATGAATCCATGATATTCTATGGCCAAGCCAGAAGTAGCAGTAAATGGGTGAATGTGAAAGGACAAATATTTGATGATTGATAAGCTTTTTTGTCTCAGAAACCCATCAGTGGCATCATGAATACTTTTTAGTCTCTCTTTTCTAACATAAAATCTATGACTCTGTTGTACTATATACAAACAAAAAAATGTTGAAAATCATTTGTCAACAAATGTGTATTGGAGCTGTAGGTATATCTTCTTCAATTTCAAAAACAATTAAACTTTACCTTACATATAAATAACCTTCTGATGTCTGCTATTATGCAAACAAATGGCTGAGATATTTGACTTGCATATTTCAACTTCCTCAAAGTATGTGACTTTTTTGGTTCTTTGACTTTGTGGTGAACTTCTTATATCTAAGATAGTGTTTTGGTTTGCTAGGAGATTGAAATATTCAAGCAACTTTTGGCTGAAATTTTTGACTTAATATGCAGGTATTGGTGAAGTCAATTTGCTGCAAAGTTTTTAACTCCTTTCGGTTTTTTTTGGGTTACTTTGCCAATGGTACTTGATTGCTTGTGATGGAAGTCGTGTTGGTTGAAGTTCAAACGAAAAATTGTATGCATATTTCGAAACTCAAAAGACCCTCTATAGAATAAGAAGACGGAAAATTTCCAGGAAAAAAAGAAGAAGAACTAAAGCCTCATCCTTAAGACATGAAACAACGAACTGGACATTGATTATCATCCGAAAATAAAAAAAACCTACAGAAGATCGTTTTGTCTAAGGAAAGCCTATGAACACGAAAAAATAATACAAATCCAGAAGAAGAAAAAATATAGAAAGAAGAGAAACGTCTATATCCTCTTTGCACAGTATCAACTTTGGTACCCGTAACTAAATGGGCGCTGCACAAGTTGTTCGGAAATGTCCGGTCTGATTACAGCGGCTGCAATGGACAACTCGTTTTGTACGACTACCATCTTCTGTGCGGATTCGCCTTTTCCTTGGTCGTCCAGGTGGTCGAAGCGACTTTGGCGGGTTTATAATAACCCACATATCTGTATTACCATCATTCTGGTATCCAACCATCTCCTTCCACAGAGTTCTATCGGGAATTGGATGAATCGTCTCTGAGTAGGCTTTTCGATAATTTGCCACTGTGAAGCAACTTTCAGTGAACCGATAAACATGTTGCCTACAAGACTCCAGAGCTGCCGCAGCATGAGAACATGGCAGCCCGCATAACTGCCATCCACGGCATTCACAACAACGGTTACGAATATCAACTGTATGTGATCCTTCATGGGATCTAACTTTAAATTCAGCTTCATTTGAACGGACCACATTATAAGTACGAGCAAGTGCAAGTGCGTCTAACACACACTTTTCAGCAGAAGGAACAAGTATGCCTGTCCACTGCATGCTCATTTCACGGCGCTCATTGAACCAAGTCATCAGATGCCGTCTGATACACTCCATCATTTGAATAATTGGAAGCCCAGATGCTTCGATTATCCAAGAATTTATAGATTCAACCATATTAGCCGTCAATTGCCCAAACCTTGTTCCCTCAAAATATGCTGTCGCCCACAAGCGAGGTGAAATTTGTTCAATCCAATGGGCTGCTTCCTGTGATACAGCTTTAATCTCAAGAATTTTTTGTTCAAACCCAATGCTAGTAAGAGCATAAGCAGCTTCCCAGAGAAGGTTAACAAGCAAAGTATTGTTAAATTCCTTGCGTAAACTGTCACTTAGATGGCGCATACAAAATCCATGAAATGCAGTTGGGAAGTTAACTTCCACTCCATCGACAATGCCCTTTTGTCTATCAGACAGAATTGTAAGCCTTGGCATGTACTCCGCATAATTTTCAAGCAGGACACGCAGCTCGGAGAGAAACCACATCCAATTTTCATCATTCTCTTCATCAACCACCCCAAATGCTAATGGGAATAGAGCTCCATCTCCATCAAATCCAGTAGCAAAAAGCAAAGTCCCAAGATACTTGCTTTTCAGATGAGTTCTATCAAGTCCAAGAAGAGGCCGGCATGCATTCAGAAACCCATATATTGATGCATGTAATGAAACAAATAGGCGTTGGAAGCAGTTATCATCAGGATTACCATAAACCTGTGCAATACTTCCAGGATTGGTCCTTCTGATCTGGTCACAATATTGAGGAAGGAGTCTATAATCTTCCTCAAAAGATCCACGAACAGCTGCCATGAGCCGTTCCTTTCCCCTCCATGCCTGCTTATATGATAGTGCAATCCCATGAACTCGGTGAATCTCTTCTAGTATCTCTTTTGGTTTGTAATTAGGATTTTCCCTCAAGCGTTGTTCCACAGAATCTGCAACCCACTGGACTGAGGCTTGTTGATGACCAAGATGGGTGATTCCACCACAGGTGTGTTCCTCATGGATGGTCCTTATAGTGAAAGTAGGAACACCAGGCAGCTTTGCAGCATGAATCCGCCAAGAGCATCCTTCAGTTGCACATTTGGCAGTGAAACGAGTCTTGTCAGACTTAACTGTCTGCATCTCAAAGCGAAGCGCAATGGCAGCATCTCTCAGTGCCCTTCGACAGCTCTGGACATCAGGAAACTCTTGCCCAACAGTCAGCTGGTGATTAGAAGCTATAGCTAGGGATCGACACTGGAGGACAGGAGGACTATCTAAAAGCTGGGAATGCTGCAAAGTCAAGTCTGAGTCAGGCACAATACCCATATCCTGATTTTCATCTATCGCTAAATCTAAATTTCCGTGAAGATCATGTTCCTCCACAACAGACAATTCATGATTCTCTGATAAACCCAACCCGTGAGTCACAGTAAGAGCAAGTTCGTTATCATGGTCATCAACATCAATATTCTCTTGATCAGTTTCAAGACCAATATCTGGATCCAACTCCAAACCTTCTTCTTCAAGATTTTGAATACGACTATGCTGAAGTGCGATCTCATGTTCATTTGTCTGATCAAAAGTTAATCCATGATCATGGGCATGTCTAAAAACCTGCTTATCGTCATGAGTACCATGCCCTAATTCCAAATCCTGATCATGGGCATGCCCCAATGCAAAGTCATGACTTTGACCTAGAACCAAATTGTGATCATGCCCCAGTCCCGGATGTGAATTCTGCCTCAATGGCAACTCCCCATTTTGCCCGAGAATCAAATTATGGTTTGCCATTACAAGGCCAAAGTTTTAACAGAACCAACCCCCACCAACTCAATCAAATGATGAACTTAAAGTTGGAAGATTTCTGCCCACTTTGTATTTTCGAGTATACCTGTGTCACGAAAAATGCATTTTTGGATCAAATTTATATTCATTTTACCATTACACTGAACAGTGGGATATGTAGTCCAAGCTAGAGCACCATATTGTTACCAAATATTGTTTGCCTGTGTAACTTCCCTCGAAAATAAGAGAAATAACAGTCATATAGATTGAGATCAGCACACAGCATTCTCTGGCGCATGAATTCTTAAACGAATAAGCTGAAAAAGTTTTTAAATTGAAGTCTGAAACTCAATATGCTATATCACGCTCTAATTGGCTGCTGAGAAATCATAAGGAAAAGAAAGCAAAAATCTCAACTCAAACCAATACGACCGAGGCACACCTAGAACTGGGTAACTCAAAGTTATTTAAATATTTTGTTGAAGACCAGAAGAGCACACAAATGCTAATTTTCCTGAGCTTTCTCAGCAACCAAACATATAATTCCTAGCCAGAAAAAGAAAAAAAAAGTTGGAGTGCGTCAGAACTCACTGAATTAAAGCGTGCCCACTGCCCAGAAGCCACCAGAAGCTCAAACTCAACCTGCAAAATTATAGCCAAAAGAAGAAATATAATTAAAATCATACCAATCAGAAATTTCAAGAGATGAACGAGAATAGAACAGTATAGATGCATCTAACAAACTAAATAAGTAAATAAAAAATTCTAATTGATTTTCCGAAAAAAGAAGAAAAAAAGAGCACAGAGAGAGAGAGAGAGGTTTGAGTTTGGCGGGTGGGCGAGAGGGAAAACCTGAAAGGAGAAGGGTAGAGAAGGGGAAGGCACAGAAATTTTGCAGGGGCAACAAGGGCAGCGAACGGACTTGGGAGATTCTAGGGTTAGCCAATTTCAAGGGTATTTATGTCATCCCGGTTTTCCTTCTCGTTCAATTTTTTGGAATTCCCATATTAACCCCATCTCTCCTTTTCATAATTTGTTTATCCTTTTTCTTTTATTTTGCATATATATATTTTTTTAAGTGGTCATGAAAAATGTGAATTTAATATTGACTAATTTTCCCAAACTTTCCCATGAGGAGGGAAAACAAAACCTGAGTTGGGAAGAGGGTTTCACTTTCCCCCTACTTTCCTATGTACTAGGCAACCATTTTCCATGTATGAACTTATCAAACAAGAAAAAGCAACTAATTTTCCATCCACAAACCTTCTTTACCATGAATCAAACGAGGCCTATAGATAAAGATCATCATATTGGATTTCAAAATTATATTTATGGTGCCAAAAATAAAGTATTTTAAACTTTATTATTTACAAGAAATCATTGAGATGCTTAATCATTACAGTTTATATTATTGTTTTCATTAATGAGAGACAAATATTTAAACTTGGAGCTTCTTCTAGTTATTAAAAAGAGAAATACTTTTAATTCCTACAATATCAGTTAGAGTACTGAATTATAATAGATGATATCACAGTTATTAATCGAAGAATAGACTATCATTCATTTTATTTTTAATATTTTATAAGAAGTCCTGAGAGAAATTCATGACTCAACCTGTGCTTATATTATACCGTTCTCATAAACACTATATATATAAAAAGAAATACTCGAAAATATTCCTAAAATATGCATGATTGTGAACTGAGAGCTAATGTAATGTAATTAATGATGAGTTGGGGAGGGGGCATTAATGGAAGAGAGATAAAAGTAGAATGGTAGGGGCGTTGTTTCGTAGAAGATGAGGGCTACGAGCAATAGGGGCAATTACAAATCAGGAGAGAGTGAGGGGCACTAGTGTAGTTGTGTCATCATCTTCACGGTTTTTTTGGGACTTTACGTATTTTTTTTCCACATCAAAACCAAAAACCAAGCAGCCCCTGTTTTTAAATTATTTACGTATTTTCCCCTCGAGATGTCTTGTCACTCAAAGGCCAATTCATCACTGTGGGCCCACCACAGTCACAGGTCACTGTTTTAAGTCTGGTGAAATGTTTTTGTGGGCCAAACCCCAAATAGTAAATTTGTTTGGGTTAAAAGAGCCCAAATAGTTTTTTGTTGGAACTGGTCTCCCTCTTTCTAAGTATTATTTTTTTAATAAATAGTTTAGCCGTTCGGCTATACTTGGTTTTTTTAATTACAAAAATACTATAGCCGAGCGGCTATACGTTTTTGACACGTTTTTTTATAAATAGTGTAGCCGCGCGGCTATACTCAAAATATTTTTTAGAAACACATATACTCGCTCCGCTATACTCCTATTAAATATACTATACTTAAAGAGTATAGTCATGCGGCTATACTTTTTTGACACATGGTGAAGCGGGAGCTAGCGCTACCTAGGTCCCTTTTTTTTTTTCAATAAATAGTATAGCCGTGCGGCTATACGCAGGGTTTTTTTAATTTAATAAAAACGATTTTTTATTATAAAAATAGTATTGCCGAGTGGCTATACTATTTTTGACACGTGGCGAACTGGGCGCTAGGCACGAGGCTTGAGGCGGGTCCTTTTTTTTTTATATAAATAGTATAGCCGTGTGGCTATTGTCGGGTTTTTTTCTAATAAAATTGTATAGCCGCGCGGCGATACTATTTCTGACACGTGGCAAGAGGCGCTAGCGCCAGTCGGCCCTTTTTTCTTTTTTTATTAATAGTATAGCCGCGCGGCTATACTCGGGGTTTTTTTCCTAATAAAATTAGTATAAGCGCACGGATATATTCAGGTTTTTATTATAAAGAAATAGTATCGCTGCTCGACTATACTGGGAATTTTTTATATCTATTAAAAAGTGTATAGCCGCCCGGCTTTACTGGGGTATTTTTTTATAAATATTTTTAATGAATAGTATAGCCAAGCAACTATACATATTTTTCATATTTAATACACTTGTTTTTTACAAAATTTTCAATTACACACACAAAATTCACGTATTATACACATATTTTTCATATTTTATTGAATAAAAATAATATGTATTTGAAAAATTAAATAAGTCATATTAAAATATTATATAGCGGCCGAATAAAACATGTACTTATTTTATTCATATTTTCCTGTTCCGTATTTTACTACCTGAAAGAATGTGAGAGGCTAAGATTATTTCTTACTTGTTGTAACAAAAATGAAAGATGGTGATTTTGCAATCTCTTTGCCAATGAGAACAATAATTTCAAACAAAGATTTATGGATATAGTAGTAAGCTAGGTGGTATTATTCTTCATGTAAAGTGTTGTTTGAAATGTGAAGCAATTACTAAGAACACTCCAACTCAGCATGCAATTCTCTACAACAAATAATGTGTGTAGTAACAGAATTTAGTAGCACTCGAGAGAACGAGGTAGACCAAAGGCAAACATTCTCACACAAAAAGACGAAGAAAAAATGAACTCTCAAATTGATTTAGTGTGAAATTTCTCTCTCTCTTCAATATTTGCTTCGGAGGGTCCTTTTTTTGTATTTTTTTTTATTTTAAGGTATATGCATTACAAGAAAACTCATGTTCATCCTACTTTATGCATTTAATCATCAGAAAAGGTAATCCTGGCATGCTGTTTCTAGAAATTCATCCTTTGCATTATGCATTTAATTATCTGAAAAGGTAATCCTGGCATGCTGTTTCTGGAAATTCATCCTTAGCATCATGCATTTAATCATCAAAAAAGGTAATCTTGGCATGCTATTTCTAGAAATTCATCCTTGGCATGATGCTAAGTATTCGGTTAATTAAATGCCTTGAAAATATGTAGATACTTGCCGACGAAATACAACAGAGAAATGTGGAGATTAGAGAAAGAGATCCACTCAATGATATTGCGGGTTGCAACACAACTTAGTACTGAGGCGGCTGATGAGAAAGACCTTCTGCAAACGATTCTTAAGGGAGCCAAAAATTATGGTGATGCTGATAGCCTATTTTCAGGTATCTCCCAAGAGAAGTTCATAGTGGATAATTGCATGAGTATATACTTAGCTGGCCACGAGACCACTGCCGTCACCGCATCATGGAGCTTGATGTTACTAGCTGCAAATCCAGAGTGGCAAGCTTGTGCCCGTGCCGAGGTGCTTGGAATTTGCACGGATCACATTCCAGATGCTTATATGCTTCGAAGCATGAAAACAGTATGTTACTTTAACAGATATATATATTCTGTTTTTTTTTCACTCACTGAACATACTCAGCTAATGGAGCAATTGCAAATGCTACCAAAGCATTTTTTAGCGTTTGATGTAAATAGTTCAAAATTACTATGACAGGAGCTCTTGAATAAATGAATAGGTTCCTAGTTTGTTCGGCCATCCCACCCTTCTTGGGATGACAGAAGCACTGGAAAAGCACATGATAGGTGAATTTGTATTTGATTCTAGTGTAACTTTTTTTATGTACGAAAGTGCTACTAACAAAAGCACTATGGAGTAATAGCGCTTCATACAGAAGCACTCCTGAACAAACCCAGATTCTTTACATACTCTGCTAAGCTAATGAGCTCATGCAGTGTTACTGTACATGTATAAATTTGTTATAAGAACTGATTTCCTTTCTGCCAAATAAAATGATATGACCTTTTATTCTAAACTCATTATAAATATCCTGGCAGTTGAATATGGTGATCCAAGAAACCTTGGGCCTGTGCCCCCCATCACTGATTGTTGTAAGACAAGGCTTGGAAGATATTGACCTCAACAATATTCAAATTCCCAAAGGAACCAACATTGAGATTCCAATCCCAATACTACAGCAACTGCCTAATATCTGGGGGCCTGATGCCCTCGACTTCAATCCGAACCTGAGACATCTGGTCTGCAAATCAAGACCCTTTTCCACTAGACCAGTTGGCATAAAATAGCTCTTTGATATCTCATCAATCTGTTTATCTCTTTCTTCTTCTTCTTTTTTTTTTCCCCAAACTTCAAAAATAAAAATATGTATGCACGGTTGCTGCGAATGTCCAATGAATAAAATCTATAATTTTTGCATTTTCAAAAATAAAAATAAAAATTCAGTACATATAAGATCCTTTGCTATTCTTTTACACGACATATCATATCAGGTAAAAAAATCACCTCCCCACATCCATGCAAACGAAAAGGATAACAAAGGCACCACACCTGCTCAATAAGCAATGTATTGAAAAGGTGCAAAGAATCGAGCACCTTGCGCGCAGGAGGGTAAAAAATCTGCTTGCAGAGAGAGACCCGGAAAGCAAAGCTTTAATGCCTGCTCGAACTGATGTTTTCCCAGGAAAGTATTTCATTCTGATCCCATTTGCAATGAAGCCAGCATAATTACAGTTAACTTAACCCGGGCCTCGTTTTGTGTTAGTAGAACTGCGAAGGTCTAAACAAATCCAGAGAATGAGATAGCTCCAACAGAACAGAATTCATTGCTAAAAACTTACTGCTGTTATAATATGTCAGCATGGCACTTTTTTCTGTAACTGTGTCAATTTGAGCTTCGGAAGCAATTCTGACACCACCTTCTGCAAGGATACACAATTTGGCTGGTTTTCACTTCCGTTTATGACCAATTTTGAGAGAGACTTAATTGCCTGGACCTCTAAATTTTCATCGAGTAATTCATCCAAAAAATCGTCATCCTCATTGAGATTTGATGCCTTCATAAGTTCTATTACTTTCTCCAAGGTTGCCACATTCCTACCAGCACCACAACCCATGGCAGTTGCACCACCCACTGCATTTGCAATTGCTAGTGTATTAACCGCTGGCATATTGTGGATGAAACCATATGCAATAGCAGCTACAAAACTATCTCCGCATCCAACAGTGTCTATGACATTTACCTGTCACAATTCAGGATAAAAACTAAACTTTCATTGTTGCATCAGCTAATAAAAAGAGCTGGATTTGAATTCAGACAGGCTGGAGCAACAGAAAATAAATGTACTTCCTGGATGTATAAATTACTTTTGGCCAAGAGATATGGTCTACATACACATACACACACCAAACAGGCATATTCAGAGCATGTACATCACTTTTGTTAGAATATGAAAAACATGATTTCGGTTTGAAGGGCTTCCATGATGGTGCAATAGCAAGCAATACGAATAAAATTTGATACAGAGTCAGATTTAGACACAGAAGTCTAAGAAGAGTTCATAAATTATGTGAATTAGTATTGTTCCCATTTCATTGGATGTCGTCGAAGGGATTATGGGTATCAGTACTGTGTCATAAAACAGGAAAGTTAAAAAGTTGACTGCAAGATCATGTGAGAATGTCAAGTTAGAAACTAATACCTTGAATGCTGGTGCGCAAGAGATACTTGACCTAGTTATTAGAATGGATCCCCTTGGACCCATTTTGACAATCACCCATTTTGTGTGCACCCCTTGCTTGAGCAATTCCTGCCCTGCTGATATTGGGTTTTCAATGCCAGTCAATGACTCAGCCTGGAAATCATTAATATCAGTATAGCGGATTAGCAGAACAACAATACAGAAGAAAAATTTTACAGTACAATTTAAGGAAGAATTTTAAATGCTTTTTCACTAGTAGAATGGATTATCATAGAGAATAATTTCCATCAGCAAATGTCAAACCTCATCAGAAGTTAGAAGAAGAACGTCACTCATCCTCAACAACTGGCTAAGTGCTCCACGTTCTTCAGGTGTACCAGCAGAAAGGCTCTTTCCGCGCGGTCCAGGGTCGAAAAAAAGTGCTGTTCCAACTTCAACGGCATACTCTACAGCTGAGACTATTACACCAGGAGGGAGTTCATCAAAGCCATAACCATTACAGAATAGAATCTTTGACTGTTTTATAGCTGTCTTGACTTGTTCAGATAACTTGCTCATCCAACTGAATGCAGGATCCTTACTGAAATCAGCCCGACTGATGAACAAAACAGGTTGATTCAGATTGCCAATCATATGCCAACTTGCTGAAGGACAGCAATCAGAAAGCATCTTCTGAAGGCCCATGACTAAAAGAAAAGAAAAAGGTGGAAGAATTTACCTGCAAAAACCATGTCTTTGCAATGAATCCACTAGAACCCAGCATAAGAGTGTTTCATAAGAAGCACTTGAACTGTCAACGTTGGTATTTTCACACATGCCAACCATACCAATTCCTTCGTCATGAAGAACATCTACAAGGAACTGCCCATATACTTCGTTACCCACATGGCCAATTGCGATACAATGAAGTCCCAGTCTCGCAGCTGCTATAGCCATATTGCAGTTTCCACCAGCTTCCCAGTGTTGCTAAATGTAGAAGCATATAATCAAAGTTGAAGAATTTATCAGCAGACGCTTATAAATTATCAACTTTCTTTACAGACACTATACATAACGTAAAAAACATACTTTTGACAAACCAATAGCAGTAACCATTATTTTCACCAAAAAAAAAATAACAGCAACCATTATACGAAGTCTAAAGTTATAGCTTGAGCACAAAGCAAGCTGTAATCAAACAATCCCAACAAATAAAAGAGTCCAAATTTCGCCAGAGTTAAAAGAAAATACCACCTAACAAATTCAGTTCTTTTACTTCAGTTCTAAAAATAAATAAATAAACAAAATTTCCTACTTACTTATTGAAATCAAAAGGAAAAAACTCAAATGGGTTAATTTCAATGGTACAGTGAAAGAAATACAAAGATTACCCAACAAAAAAGAACAAGACTTCTTAATCAAAAAAAAAAAAAACAAGACTTTTTACGCACACAGTCAGAAGCTGAGCGAGAAGCAAACCTTATCGGGCGGCGAGGCAGATAAGCGGTCCATGTAAGCTTTGCGGTCGTGGACATCGGGCGGGGGCAATTTGGGAACATTGAGGACGATATCGACGCAGAGATTGCCAAGAGTGGCGACGTCTATGTCTTTAACACCGGCGCTCTTGGACTTCAAGTCGTGTACGGAGCCATTAATGGGGTTGGAGTTGGAGTTCGGGGTGTGTTTGGGCGCGGAGATGTCAAGCCTTCTGGTGCTGTTGAAGACGGAATGGGCGCGAGTACAGATTGGTGCCAAAATGGGGTAGGATTGGGATTGGGTTACCCTAGGGTTGTGGGGGAAAATTGGGTGAGACTGGGAGGAGGGCGCATGGTATGGAATTGGGGATTTCAGAGTTATGGTGCACTGATGCATTCAGACAGACACAGAGAGAGAGAGAGAGAGAGAGAAATGGGCAAGAAAATGAAAAACCAAATGACGCTGGAAATGGCGGAAGAATGGAAAAGATTGGTTCCAGTGGCTGAGGCTGTAACTTTCCGTAGTATGATCCCCCAACAGCATGTTATCATTTTTTTTTTCCTCTTGCCTTTTGAATTATGGAGCTATTAGCTTATTTATTTATTCATTTATCTTGTTATGTGAGGAAAAAAATCGTGTTGCAAAGCCTGTGTTCTTAATTTAATTTAAATTTCATATTGGGCATTTATGTTTCTTTTCCATTTTAATCACTGAAAACTTGTAGCAACCTGGCATGTGCAAAGAGAACAAAACAACATATTTATGTCATTTTCACAGGTAAAAAGTCTCAATTCATTTCCAAGTACATGAAAGTGGTTTACTTGTTCTTTAATCATTTAAAAGATAGGTCCACTATTCCAAGTAGAGGTCCAAATTTTAGATGCATGTTCTAAAGCTTCCCTATACAGGTGGGTTGGGAATATGAACCATGTTCTGTCATCATCATGACAAAGATTGGCTGGAACCGCAAGTTTGCAAAGCTAAAAGAAGAATACATGCAAATTGGTTCTAACCCTCAAAATATCCAGCACCTTAAGGACTTCTTGGGAAGTGTACCTACTACAAACACTTCAAATAGTCTCAAGGTGTACCCACAATTGTTGATACAATCGATATTCGAGGTCATGAATTCGAACATAAAATCTTGAGTGCGAGAGTTGCTACTTTTAATCAGTTGAGCTACAAGTCACTTGCAGCATGCGACAGATTTCCATAACCAGGTCCATCCTCCCTTTACCGCTAGGGCAAGGACTTGGCATTTTCCCTACTTAACTCGCAGGTCAAGACAGCTCTAATAATGTGAAGGAAAAATTACAAAAAGCCCGCCTGCACAAGTGAATCTGCTGCTACTGCTCTGCTGAATGAATAGCAAAGGTTTCATTCAGCTGCTAAAGTGGACAGCACAAAATCAAAGGTTAAACTGTGGACGAGATTGTTCTTCCTTTGACAATTCTTCAAGTCTGTCGACAACTTTCTGTGCCATATCAACATATGCTTTGGAGACATCAGAATCAGGTGCTGATATTACTATTGGGACACCGTCGTCGGAGCCTTGTCTTATCCCCACTTCTAATGGTATCTGAAACATTACACAGCTTGATTATAAAGATTGATGACCATAGTTGCTACTCATCTCAGAAAGGAATTAATCTCAGCTACTTGGGGATGGCCAAATTGACGAAAATCCAAATATGAAAATCAAAATGTGTTGCTCTTTATAGATATGGGATCGACAAGAAAAAATGAAAACACATAAGGTCATAAAGCTTCTTTCGATTTACTTCACTACTCAGCAAAGAACTTCTGAAGAAGCCCTTCAAGTGTTGTGTGCCTGACACAGCATGGCACTCAAATTACAATTTGAAGTTTTATCAAATATGTGTACATTGAACTAACATGAGGTATGCATATTATGCAGCTGACATTCATGGCATAAGTGCAAAAACAGAATCTGGTTAGTAGCAAAACATAATGAGTTGAAAAGAGATTTTACAATGTCACAATAGAAGAGTCACATTAGGCTCAGTATTGAGATCCTAAAATTCTCCCCCTTTGTACTCTAAATTAAGTAACTGCGTCTCCCTGAAAGAGAAAATTGACGGAGACAGAGAGGGAAGGAGAGAAAGAGAAGCATCCAGACCCAATTGGGGCTGATACCAATTGAATCAACCTTAAAGGGTTGCACGGAAAGTTATAACAGTAACCAGTCATGAAACAGAGGAAACTAATTAGCATACCTCACCAGCAAAATCCACACCCATCTCAGCTGCCGTCTTACGAGACCCTCCTTCCCCAAAAATGAACCAGCGTTCAGCACAGTTTGGACATTTAAAACAGCTCATGTTCTCTACAATTCCCAAAATCTACAACAGCAATCAGAATTTGACTATGGTAAAAATTATTCCATTGATGATCTCCACAAACTTTCAATGATAAATGAAGACATATCAAAATATGATCTGAAGAATAATCATACAGGAACTTCGACTTTAGAGAACATGTTAATTCCTCTCCGAGCATCCATTAATGCAACATCTTGAGGTGTTGAAACAATTAATGCACCTATTAACAAACCAACAACTGTTAAAAACCAAATGAAAGTTGCAAAACCAAAACTAATATTGGAAAGGTAAAAATAGATTGTTACTTAGATGTTCTGGAAGGAGTGAGGGGTAAGAAGAGAGAGAAGGAGGAGGAGGAGGAGGCATGTCTTCAGAAACATGAAAATTTTGGTGCTCACAAATATCACTACACTTTATGTATAAATTCCTTTATATACGAAATCTACCGAAGCAAGAATTGATTTTCCTTGATATCTAACATAATGCATAAAAGAATCCTTGAAGAACCATAAGATGGCGGCCGGAAAATCATTAGCAAAGACTCAGTTTGCTTCCATATATAGTTTAATGAATGAACCAGAGGAATATTTGCCTTAACAGAAATGAGGGATATTTAAACATAGCTACAAAAGCATTTTGAGCTTAAGTTTTTCAAGTACCTGATAACTGCAGCCTTTGGGATACAGTAATATGAGCATCACCAGTCCCAGGGGGCATATCTACCACAAGAACATCAAGATTTCCCCAGTCAACCCCCCTTGTCATTTGTTCAAGAGCACTTGATACCTGCAATAATTAAATTAAATCCTTGTGAGAAACAAGGAATGGAAATACTTTCTTTATCTTTGTATCATATAAGGGTTTGACCACCCAAAAAAATAAAATCAACTTGGTTGCATTTCAAACGGAAGCTCACTTGAATTCATTAGTTTACATTCTCTCAGGATTCTGAGTACAATTACATCAAGGGGTTGGAAACAAAATCTCTTAAACTGTGTTTAAACAAGAATATAGTCTGCACACTAGCACTAATTCTTAGCATCGACAATCAATTTATGAGAGGGAACCTCAAGTTAAATAGAACTTAAAGCAAGAAAAGACTTAAAAGTTATACCATAGGACCTCTCCAAACAAGTGAGGCATCCTTGGCCACGAGAAGTCCCATCGACATACACTTGACTCCATAGCTCTCAATTGGAACCATTTTTTTATCTGGTAGAAGAAGACCATAATGTTAATATTCTCTAGTATGAACTAAATAATCGATACATAGTAGGATAAAAGCTAAGAAATGTATGTGTCTGGTGGTTTTGTATGTCTCAGTTTTAAGTCCTTACTAGATGTTTGCTTCACAATAAGGATAACATCAGATTTAATGTGTCCATGTTGTGATGCAGAGTGATACTTGTTTAGAGGACTTGTATTCTGCAGAGCCCACAAGTGGACTTGACAATGAAATGACGCATAGAAGCTTATTCCTTAGATCATGTTTGATTAGCAAATACGAAAAACTGAATTCAATTCGCATTATAATGGCAGGTTTAGCAAAAGGAAGAGTTAATCTCTTAAATTGTGAAATTGCAAAGACTGATACAGCAAGTTTTGATTTTGAGACACTTGAGCTAAAACTGATTGGAAAGTTTAGTTGCCAGGTTACATCTCTTAAGTGAGAATAAGTAAATAAATACCTTCATTCACTTCTGGCATTTTGTCGAGCTTCATCATGATTGGAACATTTGGTCCATATACATCAGCATCAAGCAAGCCAACCTTCATTTGACACTTGTTAGCAAGTGCAACAGCCAGATTAACTGCAATTCCAACCACTATGCTAAGTTACTCTAAATCAGCAAAACCAGAAAATAAGCACTGCTATGAAAGCGTTAATATGTTAAAATGTGAAATCAGAGAGAAGGTGAATACAAAATTATCATGTCTAAATCGACCATCTCAAATCGGTAAAGCACTTAGAGCTACCTCACAACTCCAGCACCCAATAAGGGAAAGATTCTTCCTTTTTCAAATCGAAAAAATAAGCCAAAGAGCTGAAAATCAACAAAGAAAACTTGGTTCTTTAACTTAGCAGTCATCAGCTCACCCAAAATCCCAGAAAACTACCCTTGTCGAGACCAATGTAATTACCAAAAAGATCCATATTTAGACAAATTTAGCATGACCCACAAAGCTAAAACACCCAAAAACTCAACAAAGCTCATCCCTTTCAGCATAACATGTAGACGAAAACCATGTTACCAAAAGCCAAAAGGCATACCTGCAGTGGTGGACTTGCCCACACCCCCTTTACCAGAAGCAACGGCTATGGTATGCTTTACCCCCTTAATCCGAAGGTCCTTCCTCCCCGCGCTATAACCCCTAACACTTCCAAGCCTCTGTGCACACAACATAATCAGCTCATTTCACAAACTCCAAACGAAAAGCAAACAACTTTGGACATACCCAGAAGCACAAAAACTCACAGTGAACGACCTCAGTAGCTCCTTCATCTTTTCCACGACTCTGTCACCGTGAGAGTGTTCTTCTGTTCTCTTTTGGGTTTTAGAGTTTTAGACGGTTGTTGTTGTTATATCCCACATCGACAGAGTGAAGGAGAGTGCGAGCGAAGAGAGATTATAAAAAGGGTCGAGGAGGACAATTGTTCCATACTTACCTGGACGGGGTCTATGGGTGATCAAGAAGGCCCATGGCCTGGGTCGGTGACCTCCATTGCACTTAGGAGGGGTGCCCGCCTATGGTCTCCCCAACGTGGGAGAGCCAACGTCATAATTTGTGGCAGTGGGGGCCTGCGTACGCGCGGCCCCTTCCAAATTTCTGTTCAAGCCTTGGCCCGTTTAATTTGTGCTTTTGGTCTTTTAGGACTAATTGGGTCATCATACTGGGCTTTTGATGCACGTGTCTAAGATGTGTTGGCACGTGATGTGAAAAATGTTTTGAGGGGCTGGTTTCTATTTTTGATAAAATTGGAGACTATAAAACCAAACATTGGCCTACGCATTTACAATTGATTTGGTATGATGAGAGCAGCTGTCGACATCATCATTTGACGGGTGAACCCATTCGTGCCCCCAACCATCTTACCAGCAATATCGGCTAGAAGTGCAATGAGTTGGACATGATCATAATTCTATCATGTATCGTATCAAACACATCAACGCATTAGTGTTATCTTCTTCAATTCAATGCAATCAACGCATTAGTGTTATTTTCTTCAATTCAATACAATTCAGTTTTATCTTACATTTCAATATGATTTCGATCACTAAACATGACCTTTGAGAGTGAACTTTTTGTATATAGACACCCGACTGCCAAGTTTCAATACCCCATGCTGCTCATCTCATCAAGTGCTCGGATTGGGTGGATTTTCAACACGCCCAAACAATAGGTAAAGTGAATGCATTATTTACATATTCTACACATGAGCATGTATTTTTAAGGATACGTTCGCTTATTTCATTCATATATTTTTCACGTAGAGATGCACTTCAAATAAACAGTTTTGAATTTTTCATTATATATATATATTTTTTTTTAATGTATCCAATAATGCATAACTTAATGACTATCTTATATATCATCAATAAAATAGGATAGGTGGCCACATTTCATGATTTTTATTACGTGTTATTTCGTGCGCAACTAAGAATACATAAAACCAGCTGACCTTGGAGCTTCGCTTTTGTTGGCATCCAAACAAATCTCAAACGGTTGGTTTCAACGGTCAGTCGCTTTCCCACGCTGAGGACCTGCTCGTAATTCCGCCTACTTCTTCCTTTTGTTTTTTCAATTTTCTTTTTACAGATTTCTTTTCATTATGCTTTTAATCCATATTTGCATTTCTTCCTCTTTCACCTTTTGATCCTCCGTCAAGCTTCCATATCAGGTAAGCCCGCATTTTTTTTTTCTGCCCTCCTTTTTCCACGAAATGTATAAAAGATGTAAAATTTCGTTCTGCTTAGGATCAGACTATTTGGTTTAATTTGTTTTCTGAAATCGCAATGTGCATTGTGTTGGATGGTACCCTTTTGATGATCATATCTGTGTGTGGGTTGTTTTGTTCATTCCTTCATTTTATACAATTATGCGGAGAAATTTATATGGTGGGCAATCTTTCAAATGCATGAAAACATTAGAATTTGCTGAAAGTTTCTTGCTTTGTTTTTGAATCACACAAAATAGGTATTCTTGAACTGAATCTGGGTTTGGTTTATCACATTGATTAGGTTAGGTGAGTTTCCTTTGGTTTCTATTTAAGTTTATCGTTGTTAGTTGATTTGTCATTATATCGCACAGTTGGGATGGTGAGAGTTTGATGGGTGGTTTTGTTCTGGGACTTGCTGTTAGTAGCTTCTATCATGGTTGGTGATGCACAATTACATATGGTCTGCATTGAAATTTTAAAAAAAAAACAAAAATTGTTGTTTTTAATTCCTTTTGTTGTTGTTTGTACCTTAACTGCAATGCTGTGGTTTTGATGTTCCTAATTGATTCCTTGTTTCTTGATTCGGCCGGTCGAAGATGGGATGCTTAACTTTGATTTGGGAGGGTAGGAGCATCTATTATCTTGATCAACCAGTGATTTCCTTGAGTTTTCCTAACTGGAAGGTCATGAGATTCTAGAGAAATTGTTAGGCAGATGGCAGCAAAGGAAAATTCTTCTGTACAAGTGCAGAAGAACTTAGAGGGGTTTGTAGCCATTCTAACATCTGCAGCATGTGAATGGTTTTTTATATTTCTTCTGCTTGTCGATGGACTATTATCCTATCTGCTGATGAAATTTGCAAACTATTGCAATTTGCAAAAGCCTTGCATCTTTTGCTCGAGGTTTGAACATGTTATAGGCAATGAAAAACCTCAACTTTATCAGGATCTACTTTGCAGCAACCACATATCAGAGCTCTCGTCTTGGATAGCTCGTCAAGTTTATGGTAAGCACGATGGAAATGAAACGTGTGAAGATTCCAACCCAGAAACGCACATTCTTTTAGATGGTAAGTCAGGATTGGATCTTGGAAGTTCCGGTTCTAAGAGGTCCAAGCAGAACAGAAATTTTGTTCATAGTTCTGTGGGTGCAAGTCCATGCTCTTTTTGCAGTAGGCCTCGGAGACCTAGAGAAAATGCTCAAGGACTGCGACGGAAATCACCTAGTCCCAAACCTAATATTCCTTTGCCACGTTTTTCAACCCGTAGCCGTTTACCTCGTCGGGATGGTTCAAAGAAGATGAGGGATAAATTTCCTGCCTCAGTTACTGTTCATGGTCCTGGAAGAGTTGGCTGGGATCCCATGTCACATGTAGGAGGATACACCGAGTTGAGGGTTTGTTCTGATACTGACTCTGCTCGTCGTCCTGTAAAAATTGGCTGGGATCCCTTGTCACATGTAGGATACACTGAGTTGAAGATTAGTTCTGATACTGACTCTGAGTTTCCATTTTCTGATGACGATGATGGTAGCAGTTTCATCAGTGGAATTCATGAGCCTAAGAAGGAAGGATTTGTAGTTCAATGTGCTTTAGAAAATCCATTCAAAGCACCAGTGGAAGGTTTGAATCCAGCAAAGCAGAGCAATGTTTCCTACAAACCCAAACCTTCACCTTCTGATCCATGTGTGCAGCCAGATGGTAGCAAGGCCTCTGAGGTAAAAGTCTTGGGTGCCAATGTTGCTGTTGAGAATGGCTTCGATGACCCTAACTGGCAGCAAGCTAGTCGGACGTCCAATCCTTCTGCATTAGCTGAGCGTATTTCAATAGATGATTTCCCTCCATCATCTAATGTTGTTGAAAAAAGTAAGCTCAACCTTCCTCTTCTTAGGATCCCAATTCACTTGAATTGTGAACTTATTACTCTAGATGACACTAGTTAGTTGGGGAATCATCAGAGATGTCTAAATTCTCTCTCTCTCTCTCTCTCTCTCTCTCTCTCTCTCTCATGCATGCCATTGATAAATATTACATTGCTCCTTTTTTGAAATTTTTAGCAGATGTTACTGGGACAAGCGACTTTGGACATGCATCCACCAATAAGAATGACGAACTTTTGAAGTCTATAAGTGCAACAGATGGAGAATCTGCTAAAACTGATCCTATCATAGATGATCCAGCTCTTGTAAAGCCAAATCATATTAGTGTAAATGTTGTGTCTGAGTCAGCAGCCACTGGTAAAGAAGCAGATTCATCTGGTATTGTTAAAGAACAACCTACATTGAAGGAACCTGATAGAGTTGATGGGGAACTGAAACCGTTGGCTTCACAAAATTCTTATGCTCAGGAGAGTAATTTATCATCAAATAATACAATGTCTGGGGTAAATGGTGGCACTGATGAAAAGCAGGTAACTGATGCTTTCAAATCTAATCCAAAGCCAATGCTTCATGCATCAGCGTCAGTAGAATCTGGTCTTGAATCTCTGGATGAAGGTTATGTCAGTGAAATTGAAGGTGAAAGTCTAGATGATCGGTTAAAACGACAGGTTGAATATTACAGAAAATGCATAAAGGAGTTGTATAAGGAACTAGAGGAAGAAAGGAGTGCTTCCACAATTGCTGCAAATCAGGCCATGGCCATGATCACGAAGCTGCAAGAAGAGAAAGCTGCAATTCATATGGAGGCCCTTCAGTACTTAAGAATGATGGAAGAGCAGGCTGAGTTTGATGTAGACGCACTGGAAAAAGCCAATGACCTCCTGGCTGAAAAGGAGAAAGAGATACAGGACTTGGAAGCAGAGCTAGAATTTTCAAAGTTTGATATCCCAGATGAAACAATGGAGAATATGCCGCTCAAAAGCTCTGATTGGAAGGGTGAAATTGACACCACTGAGAGTACTGTTGTTGCTTGTAACTCAATGGATACTGAGGTACCCGAAGCTAGTAATGATCGTCTTTTTTCTGAAACTACGCTTTTAGAGTTTGAGGATGAAAAATTATACATTTCAAATTGTTTGAAGAGCTTGGAGAGGAAGCTTTCTGAAATTTCCTGTAATGGGGTTCCCTCCAACATGCCTAATGGTGGGCAGGCTAGAAAGTATATGGATGATGAACCAATTCAAGAAGAGACTCCTAGAAAAGAGAGGATTCTATTAAATGGTCAGGTTGAAGAGAATGTTGTGCATGGACAAAAAGATTTTTTACATGTATCTAACAGAAGCTCTGCTGCTCAAGAGGGGCCAGCTCATTCTGAAAGTTTAGACCATGAAGAAAAAAATGATTCCGATTCCCATGGGCAAAAGGATTTCATGGATCATAGAGAAACCGAGTTGGTTGTTCTGGAAAATGAAATCTCAGACCTTAATGATAGGTTGGAGGCACTCGAGACTGATCATGATTTTCTTGAGCACATGCTTTACTCTCTTCAAAATGGAAATGAAGGCCTACGGTTTGTTCAAGACATAGCTATTCAACTGCGAGAATTGCGAAAAATTGGGACTGCTTTCAGATGTCAGTCTGTTTCCTAACTTCAAATGCACCATCACATGGTAAGTATGTTATCAAAAGACTTAAATGTGCTTTTGCTTTCTGCATAATTTTCGTACATTCTTTCAAAATATGTTTTCCTGCATTTACTTTACCATTCACGCTTTCTTTTTCTCAGATTTATTTGAAATACAAGGGCAGAAATCAAAACCAATGCTTCGAGTTTCAATCAGCGATCATCTGAGTGCAAAAATGAAGAAATCAATTGCATTCCTTCGGTCACCTACAATCATGAAAACCAAAATGAATTTCATGTACAGGTACCAGCCAAAACTCTTGGAAGAAGAAAAAAAAAAGAAAAAAAAAAAAAAAGGTCTATAATAGGACATAGCTTTCCCATCTTGGAAGCACAATTTTGCATCTTCTTTTTTCCACTGTTGGGTCTATTTGGCCCTTCACTTTGTTTGATTGGAGAGCTGGCAGGTTTTAAGTTCTATGTTTTTCTATAAGGCTGTAAAATTAGCATTTTTATGTAGTTCCTATTTCTTCTTCTCCAAGGTTGGCTCCATTATGTGTCCAAGCCACTTCCACTGTAAATTCAAGCAGATCTCTTATAGTCAGTTTAGAGAGTTTACCCCAAAGTTTTCTCAAATAGTGTCATGCAAATTTGGGTTTGCAACATAGGACTGCTTGTATCTCTTATCGACTAACTTCCATTTGTTTCCTAAGTAAATTAAAGTATGCAAACCCAACATAGGAACGAAAAGCTCTAACATATAACATGTATAAATAACGTTCATCTCACAACAACTAATCGCACGACAGGCACGCGATGTAAGAAGTTCCTTGCTAAGTAAATTCGTTGGTGGTTACATATAATACCTCGATGACCTTGGCAATAATGTATTCCTTGACTTTTGAAACATGACGTGTGGAATGGGATTGGTGGATACTTCCTGGCTACGCTTTCAAGTTTCAAAAGGCTTACAGCCTTCGCCCAATCCATTGGTGACCGTACATTGTCGCAGCTGATAACGACCCTCATTGCCTTTGTGACGGTTTTGCTTACGTAGTGGAAAGAAAAACATACAAAAATAAAAAATGAATACAAACACAAGAATCATGTTAGAACCCATTCGTAAATACTTGTCTAGAAAGCGTTTTTACTGCTTCTATCAGAAATACACTGAAATTTTTCATAAAAACCCAAGTGCTTCATGAAAGTGCCTTTGTTAAGAAGCGTTCCGAATGGTTGAATCATTTTTTATCATCTAAGAACGCTTTTACTCATTTTATTTGGCGATAGCAGTTCAAACAATGAAGGGGGAACTTTGCAAAAGCAGGGTTGCTTCTACTTTCTTAAAGCGAACACAAACAAATAGTATATAGTGAGAGGATCACAAAAAAAGAAGAGAAATGAGAGAAACTCAAATTGTCATATTATTGTCACCAATCCATAAAGGTAAGGGCCCAAGACAATCCTGGTTTTTTGGGTAACCATTACCATGCTGTTGAAGAATACATGAGCTCCGCATCATAAACTAAACAAAATAGAAAGTTCTATATAATAAATGGTTTCACTCCTAATAACACCAAAGCTTTTATAAAACCCTGCACCTGCTAAACAGGAAATTAAGTAGAGGACAATATCGATGGACCAAGAATCCGTCCCTAGTGCATCAAAAACTTAACAAAATAGAATGTCTCATATAATAAATGGTAATAAATGCTGCTGCTTGCTATGTGAACTTCCCAACTAATATGACGACATTGCTTACGTATCGACGTCTTTGTCATTCTGTGAACATTTCATAAGTGCCGGAAGCTCTTTATGAAGCTGTTGATTGGAAAGTCTAAAATTTCCTTTTATGATCCAATTCAATCCAATCAAACGAAAACAAAGTCTCCATACCACCCAAAAAAAAAAAAGAAAAAAAAAAAGCCAAACCGAAGTGACACTATAAATGGCAACCAAACCGTGCCACCTATTCATCAAGAAATCACAAACCAGAAGCACTACCAAGCAGTACAAACCCATTACTTCAGTCAGGCATTTCGTCCAACACCCAAAAAAAGACTTCCATTTTTCTGCCACTATCAGCCATGTTTCTTCAGCTCTTAACCTTGGCCTCCCTGGTCCTCCTTCCCTTACTTTTCTTCTTCGTCTTCAAGGCTTTATTACAACCAAACCCCAAAACCAGCAACAACACCAAGCTCCCCAAATCATACCCAATAATCGGCTCTTTCATAACCCTCTACAAAAACCATGAACGCAGGCTCCCATGGTTCACAGACCTCCTCCGAAGCTCGCCATCAAACACCTTCAGCCTCCACCACTCTCTGGGCAAGCACTTCGTCGTCACGGCCAACCCCACTGTCGTCCAGCACATCCTCAAGACCCATTTCCCCATCTACGAAAAAGGCAACACCTTACGCACCGTCCTCACCGACCTCCTTGGCGACGGCATCTTCAACGCCGACGGCGACAACTGGAAGTTCCAGCGCCAAGTCTCCAGCCACGAATTCAACACCAAGTCTCTGCGTAAATTCGTCGAACAGGTCGTGGACACCGAGCTCTCCGACCGCCTCATTCCCATTCTCTCCGCCCGCGCCACCAACAATTCAATTCTCGACTTCCAAGACATTCTCCAACGCTTCGCCTTCGATAACATCTGCAGAATCGCATTTGGATACGACCCGGCTTACCTGCTACCCTCTCTGCCCCAAGCCAAATTCGCAGTGGCTTTCGACGACGCTGTTCAAATCAGCAGCGACAGGTTCAGATCGTTACCCCCAGTGTGGAAGCTCAAAAGGGTTCTCGGAATTGGCTCCGAGAAGCACCTCCGAGCTGCGGTCTCCGAAGTTCGCGAGTTCGCGAACACCATTGTCAGGGAAAAGAAGCGAGAGCTGAGCGAGAAGAAGGCTCTAGAGTCGGTGGATCTTCTCTCCAGTTTCTTGGGCTCAGGCCACTCGAATGAAAAGTTCGTCACCGACATCGTCATCAGCTTCACCCTGGCCGGCCGAGACACCACGTCGGCAGCTCTCACATGGTTCTTCTGGCTACTATCGCAGAACCCACATGTGGAAGACGAGATTCTAAAGGAGATCAGCGGAACGGCGGAGTCGGAGTCGGCCGCAGGGGGTTACGACAAGGTGAAGGAGATGGTGTACACTCACGCGGCGCTGTGCGAGAGCATGAGGCTGTACCCACCGGTTGCCGTGGACAGCAAACAGGCGATGAAGGACGACGTTTTGCCGGACGGAACGAAGGTGAAGAAGGGAATGACGGTGACGTACCACGTGTACGCGATGGGGCGGATGGAGGAGATTTGGGGGGAGGACTGGGCAGAGTACAGGCCCGAGAGGTGGCTGGAGAGAGAGGAGAGTGGGGCCCAGAAGTGGAAGTTTGTCGGGAGGGACTCGTTCAGCTACCCTGTGTTTCAGGCGGGCCCCAGGATCTGCTTGGGGAAGGAGATGGCGTTTCTGCAGATGAAGAGGGTGGTGAGTGCGGTTTTGAAGAGGTTTAAGGTGGTCCCAGTGGAGAGGGAGGGTGGAGCCCAGCCAGAGTTGATAGCCCACCTCACCGGAAAAATGAAAGGTGGCTTTCCGGTGACCATTGTGGGGAGGGCTTGATGAAGAATATGTGTGTTTTGTTCACAGAGTTTCAGTGTGTACGCGATATAGGCGTAACCATAGCTACGGCATTGGTTTAATTAGTACGTGCGTAATTAAGTTGAAGGTTTTCGATCGTAAGCATGCAGGTAGATTCTTAATTATTATTATTTCTTCAGTTGAGTGTGTTGTGTACTTTCTTGAGTTCCCACTGCGCTTTCTTAACTTTTAAGACTTCATTTTTACTTACTTTTTGTCCGTTTTAACCTTTACCCCCAAGTTCTCCTCTTGTTGCTATAATCGAATATTGGGGTTTGGGGTTTTAGTCAATTGGAAGTCATGTTGAGTGAATTGACATTTATGCCCATAAATTTATGTGACGAAAACTAACAGAAAATGTAATAAATTTGACTAAACAAGTATATTGACATGTTTTGAAAGATTAGAGCGGTTCAAAACCAAATTAAAAGTACAAAGCACAAAAATAGAATGAGTAAAAGCATTCGGATCAATGCAATTTTATTGTATGAAATTGAACTAAAACAATAAAATCTCACTTGCAAATAATGAACAAAATATCGATAATTTCACTGAAATATCGGCAAAATTATCGTTTTTTGGGGGCAGCGATATTTTCGCATGATTCCATTCATTTATCGTCAATTTATCAATAATTTCAGTAGCGATATTTTCATTCAAATAACAGCTGCAAATGGTCAATATATCGCGATATTATCGATAATATCGCAATATGAACTTTCAAGATGATCAAATTGCAAAAAAGAATCAGATACTCCAACTAACAATCCAGGGGAACCCACAATTCAGAAACCTAATTTTGAACAAAACCCAATGAACAGGATCCAAAAACTCAATCAAAACTTCTATGAAGTAAGCAGAAGAAGGCCAGCCTCTAATGGTGGTCATAGACATGGTCTCCTCCTCAGTCAAAGGGTTGGCCAGCTTATCGACCAGCTGAGCTAGACCAGTGGTTCTTGACGAGGTGGTGGGACCCAGTAGGAGGTATCGGGAAGAAACGGGAGCCAATTGGGTGCGGATCAGCGGACCATGATCCGGTGGATGGCGTCCTCGAGCTTTCGCAAAAGGGGATCAGAAGGAGAGTAGTCTGTTGTTGGGTCATGGGGGAAAGGAAGGTTGGATTGGGCCCGTTGGGTTATGAGGCGAGAGGAGGAAGACGGCGATGGTGTGGATGAGAGGTGGCGGCTTAGGGTAAGGGTTTGAGAGATGGACCTTGCCATTGAGAAAGGAAATTGGGAAGAGAGAAAGGGGAGATTCTAGAGGATTGTTTGGATAAGAGGAAAATATGAGAGAAAATATAGGTGTTTGAGAGAGAGAGTGGAGGAGGAACAAGACTTTAAATACGGTACTACCGACCGTACCGTCAAAAGCTTTTTTTATTAGTGAATTTTTAATGTTTTAATTTTTGGTTTATGGAGGTTTGAAGAATAGTGGATTCAATTTTTAATTCTTCCTTGAATAACTTTATTTATGTTCTTAGTTAATTTTCAATCTTCACTATTATTTTTTAAGCATGGTAAAGTGCTTAATTTTCATGACAAATCAAGTTGGTTTACATCTTTAATTATTTTTCAATTTTTGATAAATAATAAATATAAGAACGTGTACCATGTCACGATGTCCAGTGAATAACGTGAAATAAAGTTACTCATGTATCTTACCCAAGGATTGAAATATCGGCCGATACACCGATATATCGATATTTTCAACTGTCGGCATCGATATTCGGGGGTAAGGCCATATCTTCCCCTGTATCAACGATATATCCCCGATAAGTGCAATATCCTCGATATTTTGCCGATATCCCCGATATTTCCCGATACCCATAACATAACCCAAAAAAATTTCAGAATTTTTGAAGGCAATTGAAGCAAATTAGAACCCAAAAATAGCTAATCATTGCCTAGAACCCTCTAATTTATTAATATGAAGAATCTATGCACAGTCCACTGCCCACATACCTCCAATCCATCTGAAGAGGACATGACGATCAGTTTTGTATCTATGAGCATAGGAACTAGACCTAGTACTAACTCAAATGTATCTTATGATGGCTATGGTTATGTCATGTCTGATTATAGTGGAACTAGTTATGGAGCTCAAGATGATGAAACATATTATGGA